CGGTGCCTGTGTCTGCACAACCCCTCACCTACAAAAAAGTCCAGGAAGGTCAAGTACTTTGTTGGATGGAACTCGAAGACGTACTGGTGGTTAACGCCTGCTCTATTCCACACGAGCACATTGATACCGAACAGCCTGTGCATGCATGGGACGAAGGACAGGTGATGAAGTGCATGGGATGAAGGGTGTGTGATGCACCAGATGGTGTCAGCTCCACCGGTAGCAATACAATGGAGAGTAACAGTACAATATCTTAGGATTTAGGGTTTTAGGGTTTTGGGGTAAAGTATTAGTGTATGTGTGTGGATAGAAGGACATATGTAGTACCAGCATTCACAGCAGCAGGGACTTGGCCAGTCCGAGCTCATAGGCATATGCTCAGTAACGGACAATTAATCAGGAATGGTTTGAAGATATGCCCACAGACGGAATGGGACAAATACAGTCGGCGATTGGCTGAAGCGTACAAGCACGAACAGCAGCCAAACATCAATGGATACGTATGCCATGTCCATATACATAACACACACATACATGTGATATATATATATATATATATATTGGGGTCGTGCGTATCGGTAGTGGACAATTAACGAGCACTTCTACCTACCAAATGAGCAGAACCATCTGCACGTGGCCCCTAAACATCAGCCACACAGAGGTTTCGTATTTGGGGATGACGTCGTGGGAGTCACGGCCAGCCACATTGATGATTGACGCCATAAAACTCATCAGAATGACGCCCAGGTATAGGCCCAGGCGGAACACGCGCCACACCTGCACCCATAGAAACAGGACAGGACAGGCCAAGAGGACAAGACAATTTGTATACACAGGGTCAGGGTGGAGTGAGGTGTATGGGGGGGGGGGGCAAATGGGGCGTTTGGGATGTATGTGAGGTTTGTTTGGAAGCCAATCAAGGCGTGCTTTGGGATGCAAACAGGCATGAACAGCGTGAAGCAGATGGTGTTGTGTGTATTCATCTCGAGCACTACATAGTACGTGGGCGGGTATAGTGACAGTTAGAACCCATTTATCACAATATATATTTGCATGTGTGTGTGCGTGTATAAATATACATATTTACATGTGTGTGTGTGTATACATAATATACATAGCTACTTACCTTGACCTGTTTATGCGACGCTATCTTGGATGGCTGCAGCCGCCTGAGTGCAACTGCTCGATCGCCCCGGTGGAAAATATCGGCATATATACCCTAAGGAAGAATTCAAAGGTTTAGGGTTCATGGTTTTATTCGAGACTAGGTTTAAACCCCTCGGGATAAGTATTTAGGTTTTTATTAAACCCCACACCGTCGCGTCCAATATATTGATGCCACTCACCTCCATGTTGCCTATGAGTGTATCGCATATCTCAGGCTTAGCGAAGGGCATTTGCTTGATCATCGGCAGCAGAGTCTCTTTCAGCTTCACATCGCTGTTCTGTTGGTGTATGTGTGAGGAGAGACGCGGATAGAGGTTTAGCTAAAGTCAAGACATTGTATACTATGTAAACCTCATTTAATATGAACACAGCCTATATACCTAACATGTGTGTGAAAGTATGCATGTGTATGTGCGTGTATGTATGGGCATGTATGTGTATGTATGTATATGTATGTGTATGTATGTATGTATGTGAATGTGTATCTACATGCACGTATGTGTAAATATATGTATATGTATATGGATTTATACATCTATACATATATACATATATATAATAAATATA